TAATCAGAGTGGCTACATCCTTATCCGAAGCATTGTCCTGTTGACATAAGTACTTCGGCGACGGTGCGGTTAAACGCTAGCGGATTCTCTCTCCATCTTCTTACGTTCAGCCTTGCGTTTCTTTGCAGGTGTATTGTCTTTCTTTCTCATAATCTTAACTTATGACTTCAGTCTTTTTCTCTTAAGGAGAGACTGTGCTTAGGAAAAAAATTGTGGTAGTTATCTACCTTTACGTTCAAGTAGTCTAAGTAGTTAATACCTTTGCTAACTTTTAAATGTGTAAGATTCGGTCTATCATAGAGATATCAACGTCTTAGAGAAATTAAACGCGTAGGTTAAACTTAAGTATAGTGAAATTCGAAGTAAATAAAAGAAAGGAGTCTTTTGGTAAAGTTAGGTATGCCTCGTGAAAACAGCAATACTCTGAGGGATTGTGAGGCTGAGACATTCCCTATATATAATCATCTCAGTACTGTTTTCGCCGAAGGGATTTTATTTAGTGTTTCGTTGTCGCTCTATTAAAAACTATGGTATGTTTCGTTGGGGACGAATCCGAGAGACTCATAAAATCCTATCTTTAGAAAAAAAAAGAAAAGAAAAAAAATAACTCCTGTCACTTCTTCATTGATGACCTGCCGATATAAGTCAGCCAATCCCTAAAAACCAACATGAGCAAGATCCTGATGTAGCTCGAGTAGCAGCTCGTCTGTGGTTGGTTCATCCCCGTCGCCTAGCAACGTCATCTCCAAAGCAACCGCCTCATCATTATCCCCGGCGAGTCTAGATAACGTATCCGCGTCGCCCATGTCCTTACCCTTGACATATGAAAGTGTAAAGTTGAAGTTCTGTAGCCCTAGGGACCAACGTCGAATTCGTCGACATCGCACAGTATCTTCATCACCCAAACGCTTTCAGAGTCCCAACAACGGTAAATGGTCGGTTTATACATAGAATTGACCAGGTGGTCTAGCAAGTATAATTGATCAGCGATCAAAAGCCCAGACGACAGCTAATGCCTCCAACTCTGTAATCGAATACAATTGCTGGGCTGAGTTCCATCGTGTCGATGCAAATGATACCGGTACTACACCTTCGACTCTATTAACGCACAGTGCTGTCCCACAGCCCATCCTACTAGCGTCCGTGCGTGGTATTATTGCGTCATCCTCTTGTGGTGAAGCTAGCACGGGTGCCTGATAGTTTGCATTGTTCGCAGAGACTGTGCAGCCTCGTCCTCGTCCTTAATTGACGAGGACCCACTTCCAATAATTCGCCCGAGGAACTCTATCTTCAACTTCATGAATTCATACTTCGCCAGACTAACCTTGACATTTTGCTCTTTCAGTCTGCGTAATATCTCCTTCAGTAAGTTAGCATGTCCTTCCTTGGTCATAGATCCTAGGATGACTTCATCACTAGAATCTCTTCCATTAGGGATAATATTATTTATTTCAAAGGAGTTATGTTACAATGTTTGTACATATAGTATGGCTCTAATAGCTGTTGTAGTGGTTCGGATGGGAAAAAGTGGTTCAGTAAATTCCCTGTTGAAGCTTGGACCAAGTGAGTCGACAATGGAGAATATGCGCTGGGTCAATTCAGGCCGGTGCTGACAAAAACATGACACCATCGAGTGCCATATATTTGCTTTCTGACCTACTAAATAGCGTACCCACATCTGTGGTTCGGATCAGGTCTTTATCGTGTAGTGCTGTGGAATGGGTTAGTACAGAGTACGAAATGCCAAGTAGGACCAGGTTATCCGTCATAATTCGGTTGAAGAGCGATGTTGGGGGTGAACCGATGCCGCACCAGACCACATGCCTGTATTGGAAGTATCATAGGCGGAACCAACAAGGTTAGGGATTGAAATTTAAATCCTGAATCGATCAGCCTCATTAGTATCTTCAAGTATCGATAGCGCTTCCTTCAAAAGTGAACGTGGTGTACTTCCGTAATTCACGTGTGAGTTCCACGTGCCAATAACCACGTGCCATATCCAACTCAGAGTAATACTTATACTTTGATGCACTCCGTACCAAGTCCTCCTCCACGACCGAAGCTTCATTTGCCGATACAATGACACCAAATTTGAACAAAAACCCCATGTGCCAGACTCCTTCTTTGGGACTACCAGCCGCTGCAGGTCCCAATCCGTCTTTCAGACACACTCCCCAATGACGTGTTCATTTAGCATACAATGAACATCAGTCCTGATGGCCTCTCTCTTCTGAGGATTCCTTTTTTCATAGTATATGTAAACCGGGCTAGCACCATCCTGTAACACGATCTCACGCTCAGCATCCGTGATGGTAGACACTCTTCGCCATCTACCCATGCAACCTCCTGCAAAAAATCTTGAATTGCCGCAGTCATCCATTTCTCTGCAGGAAGCACTTCGTTCCTAGGCGACTCCGATGGTTCCCAAGCCAAGTCTTCCTCGAACTCCAATACTTGGTCTGTTCTTGTCCTGGCTGTCAGCGACGACCCAAGTACGTAATCTCGTATCCAAGGCCACCCAAGTAACGGAACGTCTAATACCTTGGCGTCGACGCTATGGAATGTCTGCAGACTCTCGTTGCCAGCAAACCCAACCACGAGCCCCACCAGTCCATACAATCGGGTACGCCCACCAAACCCATCAAGCCAGCTCTCTCTAGCTGTCGATAGATCTTCTTGCTTTGAGTTTGGACCAGCCCAGCCCTTTGGTAACAAGTTTACCTCAGCCCCACTGTCCAGTATTGCCGATACTGTACGACCGTCAATAAGCAACTCTTCTCGCCAGATTCTTTTGCTATCTCCTAGCTGTCGTACGATCGGACCGTCCCGTCATGCCTGCTTGCATACGGTTGCCAAGTGGCCTTTCTTGCCACACTTTCGGCACTCTCCGTCAAACGAACAGTACTTAGCAAAATGGCCAGCCTTCCCACACTTGTTGCACTTACCTCTGCTGCCATTTCCATCTCTACCCTGACTCGAGTCCTCTGCCTTGTCACGTGCACCACGTGACTTCTGAATAATCGAACCTGAAATGTCTGCAAGTTTCATTGCCTCTATTACGCTGTCTTCATTAGCCGACTTCAAGCGTACCTCCATCTTCAACTGGTCGTCAAGTCCCTTGATGTATATAGCTACAGCCTCGTTTTCTTGCATGTTCGGTACATTAAGTAGCAGCTCTTGAAACTTCTCGGTGTGAGCTCGCACAGCGCCGGTCTGCCTAATCGCCATCAACAATGTTAGGTGTGAGTCTGTGAGGGCTGAGGCGCATACCCGCGCATGGTCGATGTGTCTGGAAAATGGAAATTGTAAATATTGACTACAGTATTTTTAAAAATATATATAAAACGACTAGAGTTTCTGGACGCTTTTTAAGGTTTTTGTTGAAATAAATACTCAACTGGTTGTCTGGTTTCAATGAAATTCAAAGTTTTTTAAATTTATTTTTAAAATTATTTGTTTTTTTTAACAAAATATCAAAATGAAATTTTTATTTTAGAGGGTTACAAAATATAAAAATATATCAGACCATAGTTTTCTGAAATAAGAACAGAAGGCTATATATTTATGATCAGTGATCAGACCCTTTCAGTATTTCAGTATTTGTTTTAATTTATTATTATTATCCATAGCCCTCAAAATTTAAAATTATACATATTATTACAATTTATAGTACTTTTTATAAGAGTGTATGTTTTGTTTTTAAGCAAAAAAAATAATATCTGTAGAACTGACCTTGGCTCAGGCTCTGTAGTATTTTTGAAAAAAGAATTCCGTTATATAACGTTTGATTCTGATCACTGGTGGGAGTTCGGGAGTTCGGGAGTTCGGGTTCCATGCTCACCCAAAGTAGGGGTCATTTTAGAGGGTGATGTTTAATGTACGCAACTGCACCATATACTTTTACCTGCTGGTGCCTGGTGGTGACCTCAACCTGGCCAGATGTTGAGAAGGCCATGATATGTAACATTACTACTCTCTTTGGAGCTAGTATTTATTTACAGCGAGAGACAGCGTCACAGAGAGTTGTTTGACTTTTGACAGAGAAGTTCCGAGTTTTCTTTCTCACAAGAAGAGAGAGTTAAAAATTTATCTAAAACTGGTGACGGTGGTGCGTGTTGCCTATTGGCACTTGACAATAGTCAATATTTAATAAAAAAATGTGTTTTCAGTGTTTTGACCGTTTTCACTGTATTTAAAAAAAAAGTGTTCACTGTCAGTGTTCAGTGTTCAGTGTTCAGCTGTTCACACATCATTTGTTGAATGGTGAGTTGGTGACTGCTGAGTGTTGAGGTAGAGCACACTAAAGTGAAAGTCATTGCTTTAGTTTGACTGAGCATTCGATAAGAACTTGTAACATACAAATTATTTAAAAAACAAAAACAAAAACAAAAACAGGAGAGGACTACGGCATACAGACTATTTACAGTCTTGGACTCTTGAGTCTTGGCCCGGGCGTCAGACCGCCTTGATCTTCTTGGTAGCGTGTCAAGTGTCAACACACTCATCAATGAGCCGGTGATTCTTGACTCTTGAGTAAAAGTCTGGTTGATAACAGATAAACAGATAAATTGATATTTCAGAGTTTTAGTAGCGGGTGTTTGCTCTTTTTATATGTATATTTTTTAACTGCACTGAACCCAGTGAGCAACACTGCAACAGTGAGCACTCACCAGTCCGGCACTCCGGCTGGATATTTTTTTAACTGCACTGAACCCAGTGAGCAACAGTGAGCACTCACGAGTTCGGCTGGATATGTATATATTTTAACTGCACAGAACCCAGTAAACAATAGTGAGCACTCACTCAGACTGTGACAGTGGCAGTGATGGAGTTGTTTAGGAGAACGTGAATATTCTACGGCAATTTGTAGTGATAACTCATAATACAACCGCAGGAAACGACCGAGTGGTATATTTAGTATAAAGGCATTTGACAGAATGCTACACACGGCACACAAGCTAACATTCGCAAGTTTAGAGTTAACAGTTAGATTGTTCACAATGGGGATCTCTAATGTTATCGGAGCTCTATTAATAGCCACTCCTGTAGTGCTGGGGTCCGAATTTTACAATGTGATGCCTCGCAATGCGCTATGCCCGAATAATGACAGGATAAACACCGGTGCTTATGAAGCCGACTGGGCGGTCTGGGTACAACCCAGTTCAATATATGGTGGACATTATCTGAATGGGCGAGGTTCACTTGAGAAATCTGACGACGGCTCAACCTTGAACTTTAAAGGTTTTTGGGCCACCAGCGACAATATGAAGACCGCCAAGATTGATGTCACCTACTCGAGCGTGGTCAGTTCGGAGGAAGCAGTTACTAAGAATGCGGCATGCGCTAGTCCGGACCATCCCAATAATAAGGTGTTCTACGACTACGTAAGTGGAACTGTCCAACTATACAATGCCGCGACAAAGTCGATAGACACATACGAGGTTAGTCTGAACATGAACAGTGCACAAATTGGTATTCACGGATCGGCCGGCAGCGACTGCTGTACAGAAAACATGTACGGATTCGCCTCTTGGCTGAGTACTGCCGGTGGTCCTAACGTGGACTTGAATTTTGATCTAGAGACTCTCGATACTTGCGTTTTGCAACAAAATGCCGAGTATGTTGGACTTAATCATCCAGGAGGTTCTCAAGAGGCCAGGTTTGGAACACAATATGGTATCATTGTCAACGAACTCTTCCGGGATACCTGTGTGGATAATGCCCGACTACCCGTGGGATACAACGCCATAGAATTCACAGATGTTAAAATCGAACTTGATGACGACAGAAAATCTCAACATTTATATGGCAGAGTTGCAGCGTATGTGGAAGTCAATGGAGTTTCAACGCATCTCTTTGACATGATGATCGATGCTTGGTGGACCGCATCAGATGCGAATACTTTCACATTTTCTCCTGATGGTGATATTGTTGCCTCCTTGAACAATGACAATGGAGGGTTTGCACACGCCACTCTCACTGAAATTGTACCCGAGGGCACAGAACCACTAGTTGTTGAGCTGTCTGGGAAACAAAGCAGTGAGCCTGACGCACCCGACGATGTTTATAGCTACGCCTGCTATGATCGGAATGATACACGCAATAAAGGTGCGCCTGGATGCAAAGGTTGGTTAATGTATCGCATCGCTTCTCCCGGCCAATACGCTGGAGCTACTGGGTGTGACAGATGCTCGTACCCTATGCCCGTTCCCTACAATGATTGGAATATCGAGGTGCGAGAACTATGTTCTACATCGGGGCCTCAGAACTTCCCTGATGTGCCGGCTCTAGAACACTGTTGTAATTCTTTCAATGTGTTGCCCCATGGCGTGTCCTGCACTCCAGAGAATACGGCCACCGAGACCGCTCACGTACTGAATGTCCTTGATGGTGGTGATAACATTCATGGTCGTTTCAGTGAGGGTTCCGGAGCTTTGCAGCGATTAGATAGTACCTCCGTTCAACTGACAGGTCTATGGGCCACTGCCGACTATGTAAACACGGCCAAAGTTACTTTAACTTACAGTGATCCTGTGCATTTTCAGGATGCGCTAATCACACAAGAAGGTTGCGGCGTTTCCAATGTATTCGACAAGACTTTCTATAGTACCGTGGCAGGTACCGTTGAATTGTACAGTTCCGCTACTGGCGAAAGCGAAGTTTATGATATTCGCATCAATCCCATGAATAGTGCCCAGATCGGTCTATATGGTTCCGCCAAGGATGGATGTTGTGCGAATAACCGTCAGGGTGGGTCTGCTGGGGTTTGGTTAACAGAGGACGGATCCATCACAGCCGACTTCAACTTCGATATCGAATGTGGCTCAGGATCAGAATGTGCGGCGCTACTTCAGGCCACAGCCGATGGTTCTCCGTTAGTCTTTGATGACTTTAACGCACCTAAGATCACTTTGGATAACACTGAAGGAGCAGTTACTCTTGGCATAGCTACTGCTGATGGTAGTCCAATTAACGTTTTAACCGAGGGTGGTTTGGTGTCCACTGCATGCGTTGTAGATGGTGCTTCAGGAGGTAATGCACACCTGTCATTTGCCCCACACTATCTCTGGGGCGGCACAACTTTGAGCGCGGCAATTTGCGGAAGGGCAGGCAATGTTGAATTACAATGGGGTGCGAATGGTCAATGCCAGGCGTCAATTGAAGTATCGCGAGGTTGCGGCAGCACAATCCCCACTTGCAGAACGTCCGGTGATCCACATACCAAGACACTCGACGCAAAACGTCATCACTACGGCGATGGCGACTATGTTAATATTTTCGTATCACCGAAATTCATCGTTCGTGGCGAGCATTTCATCACACGAAGAATCAAACAGAATGCCGTGCACGGTCCTGCAGGTCAAGTGAGTACATATCAATCGATTACCTTTACATACGTGTCTGACGAAGGCACTACACTCGTATCTCTGGCGAAGCCCGACTGCGAATGTACTGAGGATTCTCTATACAAAGGTGATACCATACTTGTACGCAATTTACACAATTGTGACGAATGTGCGCAGGTCCTGAAATTCGATGGTCCCACCGAAAACATTTTACGTTATAGAATTGTGCCCGACCCGGGATCTGAGTTTAACACCTACCACCACATTTATTTCAAGGATGGTACTCACGCTACTTTGCTCAAGCGAGCTAGTCCCGGCAACAACTATGTGATTGATGCTTACCTCTACCCCAATACCAGGCACAGACAATTCGAAACCACTTCGGAGCGTGGTGTTTGTGGCAATTGGGATGGTGATATTGATAACGACCATAACTCAGCTACCGTGTTCAACACTCAAGCCTATCCCGGTTTCTGGCAAGCGGGCGCTAATTTTTTGGAGCCCATCGCAGACCCTGCCAACGCGGCTACCGGATCTGCTTCCGCTTTCCCGGTTGTTTGCGGTGCGGAAGGTACTGGTCTACCCACTGGCTTCAACGCCCCACCTCAAGTGCCCATGGGCCTTGCACCTCAGGATGGCGAGGATGGTGGTGCCACCCAGCTTACTGCTGAAACCAGGCGCCGTCGAAATGTAATCAACCTGGACACGCTCGCGAATTGCGATCGAATAATACCTGCTGTACGCAACATGGGATGTCCGGCCGAGGATGTCACTGCTGCCGTGGAGAATTGTAAGGTCGATGTAGAAACTGCCTGTGCCGCGGGTGATAGCTCCGACTGTGTGCGTAGTTCGTTCGTGTCACTGATGACGTCCTGTACAGACCCTGCCACTATTGGAGGTCGCAGACGTAATAACAAGAAGCGTGTGTGTATCTTCCCCCAAGGTGAATCGGATGGTAATGGTGGCTGCACTTGCGCGGAGGGATTCAAAGGACGCAGGTGCCAATATCGTGTAGGAGCTAGTCCCTCTATTCCCGATGGTATTCAGTTCTATACGCTTCCTGCTTCATCCGCTGCAGGCGAGCCGGCCTGCACGAACCCAAATGTTGCGGAGAGTGCACACATGAGCGTCATGGTACACGAGTTGCCCGTAGTTAGTAACTCAATACCTGAAATTTACCTTCGAGTGAAACAGGTATATTACTTGATGACATGTGACGATTGTTGCGAGGATGGTGAGGATTGTTCTGGCGAGTACACTGTTGCGGTGAAAGCGTCTGAATTGCCCACCACACGCGCCAAGTGGAACGGAAAAAACAAGCAGTTCAAAAACAAGGTTGGTATGCGAGTCTTTGCCAGATGGCAGCGAACCAAGAAGAATGGAACGGTCAAGGACGTGAATCGCAGACTGGGTATTTTCAAGATGCCTGTGTGTGCCTAAGTACATTCCGACCTAGCGTATTCCATATTTTAATCATAAATTAGCCGCATCTTTTTCAATATTATTAGACTTCGAAATAAATTAACAATTCATTGAATGATATGCATGTCCAAATTGAATACATTGGGGTACAATTTGCGGGGTTTTGTATAATACGAAGATATGAGAGCGTAACGTATAGTGTTTTCCGCACAGAGCTAGCATCACAGGGCATGTACTTGGTGTAGTTTCACATAGCAATACTCTGAAATGGTGTCGTCCGATACAAATTTAGAATATAAACTTTAATTCATATATTTGTAACTAATCTTTTATCTATGTAGAATCCCTAGAACTTTTCTGGCTGCGTCCTCATTTCCCTGACGAAGCGTTCTTCAACCATCTTCTCGGCTAACTGTACGTTGTCGGATATACTGACATTGATACTCAGATGAATCTGCTTGCCGGTTAATTTCGCTGCAGCAGACAAGATTTGTACTAATTAGCTACAGTTAGTACTATTCGTAGAACTATACGAGACATTGTATAACTCCCGTCATGTACATAGATACTGCACAACTGCAAACACAGCCATGCAGCTATCACCATCAAATCGACTCATTAATACATAAAATATAGGCCTAATCCGTATGAAGAGAAATTCCAATAAGACTTCCGACTGGTGCTAATTGCAACAGATGTCACACTCACCTAATCGCTGTGCTGGTCCCGTGGACCGCAATGAATCGCCCAGAAGTAGTGAGCCCACCCCTTGTTTAGACATCTCCTGTATAAACATATCAATCATTGTGGGTTTATTGTGCAGTAGTATATCACGGTAATCCTGAGCACGGCTGATAACGGGGTGTGTGAATATGTGCATGTAATATTGCTTCGGAAGGGATGCGAGCATATTGTTGATTATGCACCAACCAATACAGTTAATATGCACGTTTTAAACTGACCGGCAATTCGAAATTGTTATTGATATACTCGTGGATGGACACAATTCATATACATATGCGAAAAACTGAGATGGAAAAGACTCCTATGAATTGAGCTTGTCTATAGCACATACACACCTACGCAGTCACATTTCCATGGAGAAGAACTGTACTCTGTGATATGAATAATTGACGTTAACATATCTACCGCAAATACTCAGCACAAATATAAAACTTACATCCCGTGGAGGCATAGCGACTGCCAAATTTGTGAAAGAAGAATCGGTTCCAGCCCAGAGCAAGAGCGTTTGGTCCTTGAGCATAATTGGTGGGAAGATCTAGTTAGTATCAGAGATATGTACATGTAACAGAGACGTACATATTTAATTAATCCAGTGGTTTCTAATCCTGTGCTCAACTCCTAAATTTCTGTTCACCTCTGGAGGTAGACGTACATCCTAGGTCTGAATGCAAATAGGAAATGAACACATACAGAAGAACACCCCTTTTTTCTCTCCCTCACTAGCTCACTGGAGGATCAACACATTAACACTCCGACCAGTACCACTGAGAGGTACCTCGAGAGACATATAGACACGCCCCAATCAGTGCATCACAACAACAAATACGCAAAATTTAGCAAAAAATCGACGTCAGTCTAGATATCAAAGTGCAAACACATAGATTTGTCCATATATATATATATAATATGAATACATACACACACATATACATATCTGTATATATATATATGTATATATATATATATATACATATCTTAGATACATGATATAAAATTATAAATATGTACACATATACAAGATGTTTATACATGTATACATACAAACACACAGGTATATATGTATATATATATATATCTATATATACAGTATATATAGTTATATATATATATATACAAACACACACACACACACACATATATATATATATATATAAATATATATATATAAACATATATGTACATATAAATACACACA